CACCATCTTCACCAATAACAGCTTGCATTAGCGTTTCAGGAAGGCCAGCTAGCCTTTATGCAGTGTTGGAAAATACCACACACTGTTGCTAAGATGCAGATGCAGATTTTAGTTACAACAAAAAACAACATTAAAAATAAACAGAACCAAGACAAGTAACAAAAATCCAGATGCATGCTTATTTCAAGCAACAAAACACATTCCTTCCACAAAAAGTCACTACAATTATGATTAGAAATACAGATTTCTTCTGGCACAGCCTCAATAGAACACACTGACCACACTGGTATGAACTTCCTGTTATGCAAAGTGAAAACAAAATTAACGCAATGCCACTGGCTGATATTTCAAATCAAAGCCACCAGGTCAAGATCAGGGATCCCATTAGAAGCAATCTTGCTGGGCTATTACACAATATGCATGAATAAATACAACCAAATGAATATGCACAAAGCCATGGTATATAGGACCGTATCACCAACTCAGCTGGACTTGGCACAGCCTCCTAGCAACTTTGTTTCAACTTGTTAAAGTAAGTGTGTTAATGTTACTTTCCCATGGCTCCCGAGTGACTGATAATTTCTGTCATACTGTGTCGCATATGAAGTGGAATATAAATCATATTAGCATGATTAGCGGTGATAATGTCTTTGCAATTTTAATAATGTGGTTGATTGTTTGTTGTTTACGCCGCACGCAGCAATATTCCAGCTATATGGTGGCGGTCTGTAAACAATCGAGTCTGGACCAGACAATCCAGTGAGCAACATTATGGGCATCAATCTACGCAATTGGGATGCGATGACATGTGTCAAACAAGTCCGCGAGCTTCACCACCCGATCCTGTTTGTCTCCTTTTATAACAAGCGTGGGTTGCTGAAGAACAATTCTAGCCCAGATCTTCATGGGTACAATGTAATTGAAGTCTCCTGTATGTAATAGGGCATATTTAATGTTAATTGTTTGTTTAATGCCGCAGTCAGCAATATTACAAGTATATGACAGTTGTCTGCAGCGTATCTGGATCAGACAATCCTGTGATTGATATCATGAGCATCAATCAACCCAAATTGGCTATCAATGAAGTCATCAGTCAAACCGTTTGATCAGATAATGAAAACAAAATACCATTTGGACTGGGGTTAAATGTAACATATACTTGAAATCATACTGGTGAGGTGACGAAGAATGACGATAGGCGAGGTGAAATTGGGTTTAATGTCGTGCTTGAGAATATTTCGCTCATATGACGACGTGCATGCGTATGTATGTGTAGGTGAGGCTGCTTGTACTAGCCCAGACTGAAGCTGGTTTTATAGTGCTAGCCCACTTTTGGTATGACGCAGTCGGGAATCGAACCCGCGACCTTCCGCTCTCCGGGCGGGCACTCTAACCACTACACCACGGAGGCGGTCCTCCCAGCAAAACATGGTAGTGTTGTATGTGGCTAGGAAATAGGCTAGGTGGTCAGGATTGCTGACTTGGTCACTTGTCTGGTACTCTGAAAATGTGGATTGCGGGCACAAATATTCCATTTTATGCAGACTACAAACATGGATGTGGATCATGGCTGCACTGGGCGTTAAACACCGAACAAATCAAGCACAAAGTCACACAAGCAAGCAGTAGATCGTGGATGAGTTGAAGTACTATTTTTTTCTGAGGCTGGCAGTTTTCCAGAGCCAAGACCCTCTTTAAGGACAAGCTGCGAGAGTGGTCCGTCTAAATCAGTAGCTGTGTGAATTCATTCATAAGACTTCTGCAACACGCTTACTTCTGCCTCGGTGATATCAGAATATTTGAACATGTTTCAAATTCACGAAAATACCCAACCGACTGGTGCTATCTTACATGGTTGTTGCGAGTCATTGTTTTTGTTAGATGTTGTTCTGAGTGTCTGCTGTGAGGCATGTTGTTAAGGTGCTGAAGAAACGCTGTGATCCTTCACAATAAAGAAGTTGACATCCATAAAATTCTTGCCTTTAAGGTGATGTTGTTTTAAGGTATAATTGTTTAAGGCATAAGGTTATTAAATTGTTTTAAGTGGTACTCTGTTGATTTAAGAGTGTTATCTACTGATTGTTATTAACCTATTGCAAAGCCAAATTTAGTTGCACTGCTTTGTTGCAATATATAATGAAAGATATATGCTTTTGACCAGACAGACCAGTGGTTGAGAGCATGGGAAAACAAATAAGTGAGTCATATGAGTGAAATATTCTCAAGCACGACGTTAAACCCAATTTCACCTCACCTCACTTTTTGCTGGGACGGATCTAACCATGAGTGAGTGAGTGAGTGAGTGAGTGAGTGAGTGAGTGAGTGAGTGAGTGAGTGAGTGAGTGAGTGAGTGAGTGAGTGAGTGAGTGAGTGAGTGAGTGAGTGAGTGAGTGAGCGAGCGCATGAGTGAGTTTCAACCACTGGGTTATCCCACTGCCTTTATGCACCAATACGAAGTCCCAAAAAAACATTCAAAGTAAATTTAAGCCTACCAGATTTTTAATCATAGCATATTTGTGAGTTTAATTGATCGTTAAATTTGAGTACATGAGATAGTAACTAGTTTTAAATTCTGTTTGTCATATTCTAATTGGATATGCTATTTTACTGTCCTTTATCGACATGTTTATAGAATTTAACCTTATTTACCATGAAAGTTGAACTTGTTTTAGTCATGATATGGCTGAAATACCGTGACTATAAATTTTAATCACTCATTCTTGTTCAACACAAAAGTAATTCAAGCTGTTAGAAATAGTTCTCCATGTCATTATGTACCCATGAAGATCTGGGTTGAAATTTATCTTCAGCAACCCATGCTTCTCGTAAAAGGCGACTAACGGGATCGGGTGGTCAGGCTCGCTGACTTGGTTGACACGTCATTGTGTCCCAACTGCATGGATCGATGCTCATGCTGTCGATCTCTGGATTGTTTTTGACATTTTCATGGACCATGCTTGACAAGATGGTAACCTGTGAAGATCCGGGTTCGAATGTCGCAGGAGGTGACAAATGGGATTGGGTGGCGAATTTGGTTGATGCATGACAGCTAGTGGTGGTCCGATTAATTGAAATAATCGAAGATTGGTCGCAATGACTCAATGACCAAGCAATCGATCATGTATTCCCATAATTGAACACAAACGATTTTGGAACGCTTATTTGCATTAACAATATTATCACTAGGTTGGTTTTTGTTACATTTCATAAGCACTACTAGCACGTTCCAAGTCATGACTGAATTTATCTTAAGAGCCCAGGTAAAATTTATGTTCCTAACATATCAGTTATCCTGTAAAGATGTCAAATTTGTAAATGCATAGTGTGCAATTTGCCACACAAAACCCCCGAAAGAACGACATATTTTTTCTTTTTGTTTTGTGCCTTAAGAAACATAACCAGTAAAATTTGATGAATGACGCTAACCAATTATTTTCGATGATTGATCGGTTGTAATGAACCAATCATCAATTATGAGATTTTAACCAATTCCCAAAACAAATGTCAACATATCCCATTTGAGTAGATCGATGGCCATGAAGTCAATCAATGGATTGTCTTGTCCCGACTCGATTATTTACAGACCGCCACCATACAGCTGGAATATTGCTGAGTGCGGCATTAAACTAAACTCAGTCACTCACTCACCCCATGTCATTATGAAGTGGACACATGGTCAAGCCATTGCAAAATATGATCAATTTCTGAATTTCTTGTATACTATATTCTACTATAACCATGTAGGAAGTAAACCCTAGCCGCAATCAGCAATATTCCACCTAATTGCCGGCGGTCTGTAAATAATTGCGTCTGGACCAAGCAATGCAGTGATCAACAGCATGAGCATCGATCTGCGCAACTGGGAACCGATGACATGTGTCAACCAAGCCAGTGAGCCTGACCACCCAATCCCGTTAGTCGCCTCTTACAACAAGCATGGGTTACTGAAGATTCATTCTAACCCGGACCTTCACAGGTCGCTTCAAAGGCGTATTGCGGTATACGGTAGTACCGTGCAGTCACAGTGTTTCACTATCTTGTTTTGAATATAAATTGTCAACAAGATTTATAGCCTGTTTTCAGTCAATAATGAATTCACACCTCAACATGGTTTACTCAGCCATGCGTGGCCTGGGCCAGGCCACGTGGAACAGCTGCGTCGTGTACACAGGACACTAGATGGAACATCTGTACCAACAGGCCATCCAGGAAAGAAAATGAGTGAGGATGGTTTTACGTCGCTTTTAGCAATATTCCAGCAACATCATGGCAGGGAGGCCAGAAATGGGATTCACACATTGTACCCATGTGGGGAATCAACCCGGGTCCTTGGTGTGACGAACGAACGCTTTAACCATTAGGCTACCCCGCCGCCCCAAGGAAAGGAAAAGATCCAGCTCATTTTGCTTGTCTTATGGGTGGACAGACGCTGTGACTTGGCTGACCTCGCTTTGTCAGGTCCCGACTGTGGGCATCTTATGTTTGTTTTTGTTTGCTTGTTTGTTGTTTTACGCCACACTCAGCAATATTCCAGCTATATATACTCGACTCTGGACCAGACAATCCAGTGATCAACAGCATGAGCATCAATCTATGCAACTGGGATACGATGACATATGTCAACCAAGTCAGCAGGCCTGACCACCCGATCCTGTTTATTTAATATCGCCTCTTAAGACAAGCATGGGTTGCTTAAGACCAATTCTAAGAAAGATCTTCACAGATACTTTGCATATGATGTCAATCATTGGATTGTGTGGTTCAGGTTTGATTTTGTACAGGCCATTGTCTTATGTGGGGATCTTGTGGAGTGTGGGGTTAACCTTTTAGATGTGTACAAATGTTTTAAAATTATGCACAAAAGTTGACAAGTTAATAGCATATTCTGTTCATTCAGAAAACTTGCTCAACAATGCTAATTCTGATGATTCAGCAAATGTGCCAACAGACTTCGAAGTATTCATTCTGCTAGTTCAGGAAAATGGAAAATGTATACTCACAGCACTAAAGTCTAGTAAGTCATTTAATTCCTTGTCAGAAGGGACGGCCATTCTATCTCCAAAACGCAGCTGGGCTTTGCTAAAAAGAAAAACAAAGACATTGTAGGAAATAAAGGAATAAGGTAGAACTGAACAGAACAGAAATTTATTGCTTTTTAGGTTGTAAGACAACAGCATATGAAGAACACAATGATTAGGCCTGACCAATTTTATTTCTTGTTTTACGGATTTTTGTCCTCAGAAAACCTAAATGCAGGAGGGGGGAAAAATAAATCACCAGTCAAAGAAATATTCTTCATAAAAACTAAAAGTATTTTAATTTTGCCTATTTATGAAGTGTTTATGGGGCAAAAAACAATCTGAAAATTTTTTCGTGTAAGTTTACATTTTTAGCCAATAAAAACATTACAATTTTCTTTTGTAGCCGGGAAAATCAAATATTTTTTTTCTTATTCTTGATAATATATGACCGGTGGATCTGTAAAACAAGAAATAAAATTGGTCTGGCCTTATATAAATTTTGGTGACAGGGCTGGTAGTCTGAATATAAGACATATAACATACACATATTAAATAGTAGAACATAATACTTTCTTTTACACAGAGGACTTACATTTAAATTTTCACATAAATTTTACAGAAAAAAAGTGACTTCATAATTCACTTTCCCGGTGACTTGTACCTGGTCATGACAGTGTTACAAAAAGTCCAAAGTTTTCGTCATTGACCTACTTTTTCATTTTGAAACAATTGACAACAGTTGACAAAGTTTGGTTTTGTAAAAGTAAGGTTTAATAAATTGGTTTCTAGAATCAACAAAATGGGGACATTCTAACATTGCATGGTATTTATCACTGATAGAGGTATTACAGAAAGTACATATACGCTTGTGTTGAGGTACACCATTCCAACGTCCGACCTCAACTGGTAGACGGTGATTAGATGTACGAAAAAAGAAGCTATTTAATCCAGCTGTTCTGAGGTAAATCGCTTAAATAATTTTTAAATCCAAATTGTGCCTCAAAGATCCAGTAATTTTTGGCCTTTGAGGAATTCAACATATCTGAGAACCAAGTCTGTACATACTGATCCTCTAGCCTTACTCTGATAATGTTTGTAAGAAATGACGATGAAACATGGTGCTGGTTATACCATATGTACAAGAAACCTGTCTCTGTGAAAATAGACTCCAGGCAGTAAGAACTGTACAGAACGCACAAATAAGCTTCATATTCTACAACGTATGAAAGTGAGTATGGCGTTACGCCACTTTTAGCAATGTTCATGCAATATCACGCCAGGGGACACCAGAGATGGGCTTCACGCATTGTCCCCATGTGAACCGAACCAAGGTATTCCGTATAAGCGAGTGCTTTAATCACTAGACTAGCCCACTGTCCCAACTTGAATTAGTGAGTGAGTGAGTATGGTTTTACGCCGCTTTTAGCAATATTCCAGCAACATCACGGCGGGGGACACCAGAAATGGGCTTCACACATTGTACCCATGTGGGGAATCAAACCCGGGTCTTCGGCGTGAGGGGCGAACACATTAACCACTAGACTACCCCACTGTCCCCACTTGAATTAACTGAAGAGGCACAGATGTGTAGAAACAGTTTTTGACACCAATTATCAAATCTACCTGGTCAATGGAACATCCACAAGGTTTCCATACAATACATATTTTATTTTAGAAAGCAACTTGGATCTGTCGACTCTTACCAGTCCAGAGATAATGTCTATCCCTGGTTTGTTTGCTGATTAACACCTTACTTAGGTGAGTGAGTGAATATGGTTTTACGCCGCTTTTCGCAATATTCCAGCAATATCACGGCAGGGGCACCAGAAATAAGCTTCACACATTGTACCCATGTGGGGAATCGAACCCTGGCCTTTGGCAAGATGATCGAATGCCTTAACCACTTGGCTACCCGCCGCACTTCGGATGACAGCCAGGTGAGTATTTTATATCTGATAGTAAAATATACTTCAGTTATGAACTGACATCAGCAATATTCCAGCTATGTGGCAGCAGTAGGTAAATAATCAAGTCTAAACCAGACAATCCAGTGATCAACAGCAAGAGCATCAACCCACCTTATTGGGATTAAAGCTTGTAATTGTCCAGTAAAGCAATAATGCCTACTAAGGGAGCACATATTTTTTTTATTATGCCTATAAACAACAACAACCACACAACCACCACACACACAACCACACGCACACACGCACGCACGCACGCACACACACACACACACCTGCTTTTCCAAACACAAAAATATGAAGGTATTCAAGAACATTTGGATTACCTTTTATAAGTGAGTAGTGAATATGCAATATTCCAGCAATATCACGGCAGGGACACCAGAAATGGGCTTCACACATTGTACCCATGTGGGAAATCGAACCCGGGTCTTCAGTGAGTCGAGCAAACGCTTTAACCACTAGTCTACCCCTCGGCTTCTATTTCAGATCATGTCATGGCATGACAGTTTAACTATAGTGTGAAAGAATTGTTTTTTTAAAAACTTCTTTTGAGAATATATTTTCTTTTCAGTTTTAACATAACCCTTTGGGTATTTCCTTTACGAGGAATAAATTACACCACTTTTGGTCCTGTTTTCTTGACAACTAGTAACTGATGCCACGGTAATTTCAGGGTATCATCTGAGTTGATAAGAGGGTTAATCTTTTTGTTTCACTTCGAGGGTAACTGCAGAAAATGAGTTTTTCCAGATGCCAATTAACGACAAGGAAGGACAACTCCTAGCATCAACCTCACAACAAACTGTGTTATAAAAAATACTGTACTATGAGAATCTTTTTTTACTATCAGGCCAGACCAATTTTATTTCTTGTTTTACGGATTTTTGTCCTCAGAAATCCTAAAAGCAGGAGGGAAAAATAATAATATAAAAAATCGCCAGTCAAAGTAATATTCCTTTTAAATATCAAAAGTATTTTACTCTTGACAATTTATCTAAAACATTTTCTTGCACATGTACATTTTTGGCCAATAAAAATATTAAAATTTTATTTTTATAGCTAGGAATGTTTTTTCCCCTTCAATCTTGAACAAATATGACCGGCGGATCCGTAAAACAAGAAATAAAATTGGCCTGGCCTCAGTCTGCAATACTCTAGATTAACCAGCTAGTCTCTGAAATGAACATATTTTACAGGAAAAAAAACAGTTCATAAAAAAAATGATATAATGAAAAGAAGCCCTGAGACTAAACTGTGGAAATCTTGACTTGGCACATATTCTAGACTTGCATGGGCTTTCTAGGATATGTTTGTTTCAGGGTCTGTATGACAAACTAGCATATACTCCTGATACATGACAGATGTCTATAAATAGTCCAGCCTGGATCTGATAATCCAGTGATTGATAATGTTAGCAAAGATCCATACAGTGACATAACAAATGCCAGCTACCAAGCTACTGATTCTGACCATCCGATAAATTTAGTCCCCTATTCCGATCAGGATCGGGTGGTCAGTCTCGCTGACTTGGTGGACACATGTCATCATATCCCAGTAGCGATGCTTATGCTGTTGATCACTGGGTTGTCTGGCCCAGACTCAATTATTTACAGACCACTGCCATATAGCTGGAATATTGCCGAGTCAGGGGTGGAAATAGCCCATTGCCCGATGTCCGGTTCAGTGGGGTTTTTTCTGTCGTAAAGCAAATTTATTTATCACGCTGTACCGGTGTCCAGTTGTCTTTCCAATATGTTAATTATGTTGTTTATTTAAAAATCAACAAGAAAATCAGCCGATATAGTGGAAAAGTTATCAGGGCAAGTGATTTTACATGTGCACTAGCAAGTTATTTCCACCCCTGCAGAGTGCGGTGTAAAACTAAACTCACTCACAACCAGCATAGGTTGTAAATTCCTTCCCTAACCCAGCAGCACTATAGAAGCACATTTCAGAAACAAACCCAAGAATACTGAAATAATCCTTTAATTCCACACACAAAAAGACTACGTAAACTGTCAACTCTTAAAAAAAGTTATTGCAAAAAAAAAGCTACTTTCCTAATTACTACAATTACTATTATTAACCCATACCACACCATTAAATAATCATAACAAATTCCCCGAGTCCTTAAAGACTTGGTTTTCCCCAGAGTGCACAGGTGGGTTTGTTCATTCGGACGAACCTGACTTCAGTTAATCAGTGATAAATTGCGTTTTCTCATTTCATTTCTCACACACATTAAAGACATGGCGCTTTAGATCTTCTCAAGTCAAGCAGTGATCTACGTGAAAACAGGTATTTACGATCAGTCAAGTAAACACACCACATCATTAAAGGTGACATGGACACTTGCCTTTATGACAGAGACACAGCAAACCTGCTCATTAATAATTACACAATTAATATCATTAAGTGACAACTTAATGGATTCAATTACTTGGAAGAACCGTTTGGGTTACAATGTACATATTCTCCTGTGAAGAGAGACATCTGCATCAGAAAACTAACAATTGTTTGAAGTCATCAAAACATCTTCAACTCGGTTTACTCATTAAGGTAATGTGTAAGTGAGTGGAGCGTTGCTGCGCTATTAATTGTTGGCTACTGGATGGAAGATTTGCGAGTGCATATATGTGCTGAGTTAGGTAGACAGCAAGAAAGAGCTTCACACACTGTACCAAAGTTCAAGTGTGTGTGTGTGTGTGCGTGTGCGAGGCTTAACACCGCTTTTAGCCATATTCCAGCAATTTCACGGTAGGGAACACCAGAAATGGGCTTCACACATTGTACCCATGTGGGGAATCGAACCCGGGTCTTCGGCATAAGGAACAAACGCTTTAACCACTGGGCTACCCCACAAACCCAACAGAAGATCAAACTGTTCAGAGACTTTTTCAAAAGATGAAAGCCACCTGACACTTCAGAAAACATAACATTTCGTTTCACTGGTAATGTTTCAAGAATGTAGTGAGCCATTTTCATATCACCCTCCCATCAAGGATCTGTAGCACATCCACAGGATATCTTGCCGTCCGTATTGCTGTTATAAACCAGTGTATAAGCCTGTATATAAAGCAGGATGCATAAA